CATGAGATTTGGTCACTCCTTTATGATCAGTAAATGCATCTGGCAGATTATTTGCTAAATATTGCAAATTAATTATATTTTGAACTTCAAGTTCAGTTTGATTAGTGCGTGGATCTAAATATTGTAGATTTTCTACATTCCAAGAAATTTCTTGGTATTTATTTAAGTTTGGGCTTTTATCTCCCCCTAATGCCGGAAAATTCTCTTCATCGAATATGCAGTCAGCGTACCTAGCTGTAAATTGATCCCCAGTCATGGGCTCTAGGTACTTGAGAATAGACGTAGATTCATAGCCAATATATATACCTAGCTTTCTATGAGGGCCCATAGAGGTACGCTGTGGTGGTGAGATGGGAACATAGACTGCACAACCAAATACTCGCAGATGGGAAATGTTAGCCGTTGCGCGTTAGCGCATCCGTTTTCTTGCTGGAAAGGTGTAATTGAGGCGTTGATGCTGGTTCGCTCTTTAGCACGAGATTTTGAGTCTCGCGTGTCTACCATTTCACCACCAAGGCATCTTGAAAGTGCATCCTATTCCATGAATAGGATATCTATCTAGTGTGATGTATGAAATATATGACAAGGGTAGAGTCTTTCTATTGATCGGTCATATAGGTCCGGGTTGGACATCCATCGGCAGATATCAATCATTGCAAGGAATACCAAACCAATATCAGTCATATCAATAAGGCTCGATGTAATTGACCTCTGTAAGCGGGTAAAGAGTTCGCCCTCCCGCCGACTACCAACTGGGAAAGCGGATTCAACAGCTTGGCGGGGAACCAGGAAGAAAAGAGCTTTCGTAGGTTCTTTACCATGCACTAGTTGTATAGGGGAGTAATCATGATATGCAGTAGGTCGGATTTGAATTAGGGCAGCAGCATGTAAAATTGCATGTCCCCAACATGAAATTGGTAAGTTGGAATTTTGTAACAATGGTCTAGCAATTAATTTGACGCGCTTAATGAGTGATTCGACTAGACCATTTTGTGTGTGGACATAAGGTACGGATGCTCCACTTTGATGCCCAGTGACATACAGTAATCATCAAAAGCTTTCGATGTAAATTCACCGGCATTATCCATTCTAATAGTTTTAATTTGATAATCAGGAAATTGAGCTCTTAATTCAATAATTTTAGCAAGGAGCTTTGGAAAAGCCTGATTTCTAGTGGACAATAAACACACATATGTCCATCGAGTGGAAGCATCTATCAATACCATAAAATATCGAAAAGGTCCCGAAGTGGGATGAATAGGGCCACATATATCACCTTTAATCCTATGAAGGAACGTAGAAGATTCAATTCCAACTTTAGTACGTGAAGGTCTCAATATTAATTTTCCCTTTGCACAAGCATCACAAATAAATTCAGTAAAAGAAGGGAGATTGCTGCTTGGTACGCTATGCCCAATAGAGTTAGAAATAATCCGACGCATCATACTAAGCCCAGGATGACCCAATCGCTCATGCCATAATTTAAATGAATTTGGGTCTTTGAATTTTAAGCTCAATGCAACATGATTAACCACAGGTCGAATGTAAGTATGGTACAAGCCTGAGGAGAAAGAGGGAAGTTCTTCTACAATTTTCTTTTGACTTCCTTGTGAATGAGTCATTAGAAGATACTCTATATTGTTTTCAGTCCTAGTTTCAATATGAAAATCATTAGATCGAATATCTTTAAAACTAAGGAGTATTCTTTGTGATTCAGGGTACAAAAGCGCATTGTTAATTATTAATTCGGTACCCTTAGGAAGAGTAAGTAAAGCTCTGCCGGAGCCTACTATCAATATTTTATCATGAGCAATTGTGGAAACACTTCCTTTCTTTTCATTTAAAGTTTGAAAAAATTTTCTATCTTTCAAGATAGTATGCGTAGCAGCACTGTCGACTAGACATAAAACGCCCTCTTTCTCCATATAATGCAAACGAATGAATGGTTGTGGTACACTAAAAGAAAAGTAAAACAATGTAAGCAAACAAAGCAATCACGAAGTCCCAATCAAAACATAACGTCTGAAAACATACCAATAGCAAAAACAAACCACAAATGTCTGGCGAAGCAAAAGAAATCAGAAATGTCTAATAGCAAGAAACAAACCAAGAAATAAAAATATCCAGTTCTAAGATAGAATGCATATTAATCACACATCATCACCATAGTCCTCGAGCTCAAGCTTCAATAAATCATCATCATCAGCATTGAAAGCTAAATTTGCTTCAGGCAAACTAGCATGATGTGATTCACCTTGAGGAGCCTTTCATTTCTTATCCTTAAGCATTCTTTGATAGGCCTCAACTAGATGCCGAGGAGTACGACATGTGCGGGACCAATGATTATCGCATCCACATCTAAAGAAAACCTGCTTCTGCTCTTTAGGTTGTGGATGTGAATCGCGTCGATTTGAACGATCCACCTCAATGTTCAAGTTCTCGCTACGGCCTCCCGGGACGTTATCACCATGACCTCACCCACCATCTCGAGTCCAAACACGGCCACAACCGCGTCCACGACCACGACTGCGACCACGTCCACCACGGGGTGGCTGGGTATGGTATCCTCGACATCTCCCTCGCACATTATGATGCCCGTGAGTAGTCGCATGTGCTTCAGGCACAGCTTGAGTTCCAACAGGCCTAGTATTATGATTTTTCATCAACAATTGATTGTGTTTTTCGGCCACAAGCAAGGCCGATATCAGCTCAGAGTGAGTTGCATAGTTTTTAGCCCTATATTGCTGCTGGAGTACAAGGTTACTAGCATGAAAAGTTGATAAAGTCTTTTCAAGCAACTCGGCCTCTGTAATGTTCTGCTTATAGAGTTTTAACTGGGAAATAATACGATGTAGGGCCGAATTATATTCAGTGACGAATTTAAAGTCCTGAAACCGAATATTAAGCCAGTCATATTGAGCTTGAGGGAGAATAATGGCCGTTTGTTGGTCAAACCGATCCTTCATGGATTTCCAAAGATTAGCGGGCTCTTTTTCGGTGAGGTATTCATTTTTCAGATCTTTATTGAGATGATGACGAAGAAAAATCAATGCTTTCGCCTTCTGGGCGAGAGTGCT